TCTTTTCTCTGGGCTGAGATGGATGTACTTGAGTCTAGCTTAAAGTTTGGGCTAATGCTTGAAGCTTATCTCAGAGGGAGCGTGAATCACATACCAGAACTGAGACAGCAGATGGACGGGATCGGGAAAATGAGGAGCATATCAGAACTGCTTCACTCGAAAGGACTGAAAGACAGGGTGAGGAGGAAATAAGGAAACAAGAACCAAAATAATGATAAACATTAAAATAATATTATATCCTATAACAATATCAAGAATAATAAGTTCTGTGGTATTTTGTAGTGATAATGTTTATTATCTTTTAGGATAAGAAGGAAAAGGCTCGGGATACGATGCAGCAAGTGTTGGCACAACAAAGCTACAAACAAGTTCTCAATAACTGTGTATCAACACTGGATCCTAAACTCACCTTAGGAGGATTAAAGTACATACATATGCATATACATGTACATGTACTTATACAATGTTTACACATAATGTTGTATGCACTTTAATATTGTATTAACTACGTATATTACATGTAATTGTGAGAAGTAAAAAATTACATTTACCAAGAAGAAGCACGTACGTATACATTGTACTGTACATGTACATGCACATATGTGTACCTAGAACCATACCGTACATGTACATGTAGATCAGTGCAATACAGTATAAGTGTGTAACATCATTAGAAATTTACATGTAAATGATATAATACTATTAATATTAATAATATTACATGTAATATTACTATTTAATATACATTGTACATGTATGTGTATGATATTTTTTTGAAATTCAATTATACTTGTAAGCACACACTTGCTGGCGTTCATTCTCAGTTTAATACAAGTGCTGGTTGTATTTGTATTTAATGATAACATGTACTGTACATGTACATGTACATGTATTGTTAATTAGATTAGTAATTCCAAGTGGAAGTGGTTTTTAATAATTAAAAACATTTAATCAGACTAATCGCATCAAGCAGTCATGTGTTGTTATAGTAACATGTACATGTACATTGTAGATTCACATCAGGGTTTACCATTAAAGGCTGGTTTAGAATGTTATACAAGTCCTGATGTTACGTTGATGCAGGAATAGAATCTGGTTCTATTCAAGTAGAAAGCATGCGTCACAAGGTCAAATTACCCACACTCTTGATTATAAATTGGCCTAACGTCATATTATAAACCAGTCTTAAGTGTCCTAGGCAAGCTACACAGCAGCTTCATAAACTATGGATTATATACATGCTTGCATAAAGCTATAGGTTTTACACTAAACGAAAAATTGAAATTTGACCATTTTTTGCCAAATTCAAAACGATTTGCCATCAAAAGGTCAAATCGCCCACTCACTTTTGATCATTTTGTCAAATGTACATGTAAACCTAGCTTTATATTTTATGCCTGTAATTATTACATGTACATGTACATGTACATTTTAATTACCGGGTACATGCCTTTAAATGAGTTATGACTCTAAAAGTAATTTTCATACGTACATGTACATGCACATTCATTTATGCTTTATCTGCCATTTTTACAAGATTACATGTACATGTACATGTATATGTATATCATACATGCATTCATCACAGTATGTGTTTGTGTACATGTACAGATTCTGAACATTCATTCATTAGAATGATGATGTAATTAAACATTATGCTATTTTTATTTATATGGTAAATATTTTGTACATGGCAACAACCACTTCATAATGCAAGTATATCAAATTACTCTATTTGGGTACCCTAAGGCTATTGTTGTGACTCTGCTAATTGAGTTACTGTATGGTCACTCATATACACATGTATTGATTCTTTATTAAATATTCTCATTTTAGAGACCAGGAGTGTCGTTTCTATGACTCCAAGATGAGGCCACTACTCATGGTCTATGAGAATCCTGACCCCTCTGCTTCCCCGAGTGACATTAGAGTTATCTTCAAAAATGGAGATGGTAAGGGATTGTGTTTTTATTTACATGTACATGTACGTAATGTACATTGTGCATGTATGGGTACTCCATAGGATTTTGGTATAGTACTCATGTGCTTAATCTGCTTATTAATTCATTAACTGTAGTCTGTACATGTACATATACTGTAGTGTCACTAGTGTGTACCTCATTGATGGTATTTTCCAATACCATCAATTGATTGGTATTTTGTCAGTGGATTGTTTTTTTTATTTATAGACCATACATACATTGTAGACCATACATGTAGTAATAACTAAATGTACATGTACATGCACAACAAATAAAGATGCTACATGTAAGTTGCTCAGAAATATGGTTGTGCTTTTGTACAGGGTATTTTTACGATAATTTCTAAGACAGAATTCTCCTTTTTATAATTTTTTTATGATACATGTACATGTACATGTACATGTCCTTGAGTTTATTCCAATCACAATTTGATTTATTTACAAATTTTAAAGTGTGCTCCAAAAATGGGTAAAAGATCCTGTAGACATGTACATGTACATGGTCTCGGGCCAAGTTTTGCCAAAATTGAAAAAGAGAGG